CCGTAACTGATTAATGAGCCTTACATAGTCGTCCGCACCACCCCACTGCTCACTCGTAGAGTTATATTTGCAGTGGCGACTTTTCTGCTAAGCTAATAACACATCGTTGTGTGTCTCTATGTCTAAAAATGCTAGGATGTTATGGCTCTCGTTAGTAATAAAACAACTAGAATGGGCGTTAAAAGTTTTATCTCTTTTCGGTTTCGGAGCGCACATAAGTTTCTAAGTTACCTGCTTTTGCTCAGTCGTGTACAAGTACATGGGTTTGTTTCCAAAATGGGCATCACCACTCGACTGCTGGCTCAGTTGTTCCCTCAGGCCTCCTGACTTAACAGAAAACAGCCTTTGCATACTAACTCCAGTTCAAAACTCCGAATTCCTCTCGTAAACGAGGTTCTTTCATTATCTTGAACTGCTTTTCAAGCTACGTTTCCTTAGGCCTTCTGATTTAACAAAATGTAGCCCAAGCATACTCTCACTTTACTAAATCGTCCAGTCAGACAAGTCTGACCAGGAAACCAGAGTACTTATGTGGATATCCTTTACCTAGAGAGAAGATTAAATTAAATTATGGAAAATGAGGTTAGTGTTCGAGATCAAGTGAGTGTAAAAGTTCACCGGACCTCTAAGTGTATATGTTAAAAGTTAATGCTGTAAGAAAAACTGTGATTAATAATAATAATAATAACAATAATAATAATAATAATAATAATACCCAATAGTAGAAAGTAGAAACAATCAGCTTGGAGTTTAAATTGATCTTCTTAGAAGTTTGTGTAATCAATGGATTCGATTTCACGCTGAATGGCGGCGATTCTCGAAGGACATTGCTGATCGCTTGATTTGTGGTCATGTGACGCTTTCTTGGAAAGTTTGCAGTTAATGCAAGTTGGCTTTTCAGATAGTTTTTGGCAATCTTGAATCTTGTGATCTTCACCACAATGGCTACACTTATCTGTTCTCTGACACTTGCTCGAACCATGACCGAAACCTTGACACTTAAAGCATCTTCTGAGTCGGAAGAAATCATCAACTTTACAACGTTGGTAGTCGATGTAAAGAGCCTGTTTCTTCAATAAATGACTTCTAATTTTTGGACTTGTGTCTATTACCCAATCAACTGTACTTCTTTGTTTGTCTCCTGTTCTAAAGGCAAGTTTCAGCCCACTGTTGACTTCATTTTCAGTAAAACCATCAAAGTTTTGTTGCTTAATAGCTGACTCAAGAACCTCAGTTGGTATATCCTTAGGGATGTTTCGAATAATCATCTTAGGGTCTTTAAGAATGAAAGGCTCGACGATGAATTGGCTGGTTGCACCTGAACGAGAAGTTAGAAAAGCTGAGGTAGATGGATCAGCTGTTTTTACAATTAATTGCGGTTTGCTGAATACCATTCTAATGCTGTCTATTTTCAACTTGTTTTTTATGGGGTCAACGGATTTCAAAAAACTCGATCTGAGAGCTTTTACATCAGTGCAAGTACCTTTATCCTTAACTGTGAATGTATTCAGCTTGACATTTTTACCTATATTTACTTGTTTCTTAATTACTGACGCGAAACTTCTTGGCTGCTGAGCAGGCTCTTTAGCCGCCATTGGATGTTGCTGTTGCATTGATACCTGCTGCTTGTTCATGTTTTCATTCAACTTTTCGGTGTTCTCACTCAACTCAGTTATTGCGTGCTCAATGTCAACTAATGAATTCACCTTTCTATTCATCGATTCTACATCTGCATAAGCATGTGCTGTCAGGTCTGCTAACGTTGCAACATTGTCTGATACAGTGTGCAGTTTTTCAATCTTAGAATGAATTTTTTCGATCTCTCGATGTGCTCTGCGGTAACCATCATATTCACCTTGGACTTTAGACAGTTTATTTCGTAAATGATTGGCTATCGCGGCAACTGAATCGAACATATTAAGGATATAATCTGTGTTCTTCTTACTTATTTTATTGGTATCTGTACAACAGAAGGTTGTGAGTTCTGACTTCAGCACTTTAATTTTATCTATTTCTTTTCTGTCTGCAATCGCACTCTCCAGGCTATCAACAGCGGACTCCACATCTTCATATTCTGACATATTTCTATTTTGTAAGTTGGAGTAATGTTATAATAATAATAATAGTAATAATAAATCTGTAAAGCAAAATGTTAATTAGCGTATAATAATAAATGAAATGATTAATTAATGTTAAAAGAGGTCGCCAGGACACGGCCGGGAACTAGCGAATTCACAAAAAACTCAACGTATGCGAAAAAGTGGATTTGGAAACTTGGTAATTCGATAATAACTTGATAATAATTGAGAATTGGAATTTGGATTTGAAATTATGCAATAGGTTGAAAGTTTTTGAGAGAAAAATTACAAGTCCACTTTTGAGGAAATTGGGGGAACTCTAATGCGCATACGCTGAGGAACGCGACATGTCTAGGGGTTAGATGGTAATAAACTTGCCGGAACTATTCATGTTCTTGACATACTGATCTTGGAAAACTGGTTTCAACTCCCTCCCCCCATGCTGTCACCGCAATACACAGCTGTTTGGGCCCTGAGCATCACTGAATTCGTCATCGTTATATGCAGAACGAAGTCCAAACATAACTCAGAATTCTCAACTCTACAATCTATTTGGGCTTTCACTTTGAACCGCTGGTGTACCCATCAAGACTTCACACCTCCGAGAAGGGTCCATCTTGATGAATCCACCAAGGGAACTCAGCTAAGCCCTACACTACCTATCTTGCAACTAGCGTCGTTGAATTCGTCCTCGTTATATTCAGACCGAGGTCCAAACATGACTCAGAATTCTCAACCAGCTGACAAGATCTAAGAGCTTTTCCTGACAATCACCGAACATTGCACCAAGTTGGTGCCGCTCCGAAGAGAAACGACCCGGTGCAAGTCAGCTCATGACAAGAGCTACTCTTAGTACTATCTGTATCATATCTTGCAACTTAGCATCACTGAATTCGTCATCATTACGTCCAGACAGAACCGAACATAACTCAAAATTCTCAACTAAGTCCACAAGACATGAGAACTAATACTATCCCTTACGAGCCCTAACATCCGGGTATTGCAACGACAAGATAAGGTGCTTCACTTCGGGTTCAAATAACCCTTAGATCAGCCTAACAGAAACCACCGGTAAGCGCAATCTTTAGCCTAGATATTCAGTTGGACGATTCGGGACGTTATCCCTTATGGTTCGACGGATCGAGGAAAGTCAACCCGGTCAAAGACTGGAAGAACCACAAGGTATTAGCAATCAGAAAATAGCACTAAGCTGTCTCTTCATGCACCCCTCCGTGTTTTTAAGCACGCTTATCCTCCCTTTCGGACTTATACTGGAATTAAACAGAACTATTACCCTCTGGTTGAGTCAATGGGCGAACCAAAACACCAATATGTTGAGGGGCTGTAGTCAGCCGTTCACGTAAACAGTGACACTCTCCGTTAGCCAACGAATGGTACGTATGAGCTGCCGTTCTCTAGTTTCTAGCCACACCTCGTAGAGGCGATTGCGTTCACCCCTAGACACGCCGGAACCTTAGCCAAAAACTCCGCCAAACAAGACCCCAACCTCGCAGTGGACCTGCTATTTTTGAAAGTGACTAGTGACTCATTGACAGTATTAAATGTTCCTCAAATAATAGTTGTCGAGTTCTATGAACACTTTAAGATTTCTGAGTATTTGCTACGGAAGAGGCTTGGAAGACTTGCTTGAACAAAATTATGGTAGATTCGCTAGGGGCCGTGGCCTTAATGATTTAATGAGCCATTCGCGGTTTCACTTTATAAACAGTATGTACTTAGACATGCATGGCTTAATCTTTGAGACAAGCATATGACTACTGGCAGGATCAACCAGGTAACTTGATGTTTTAGCAAAGTAAAATGCTAAACAAGTTGTTTTTGCAGCTATAAATACGATATCCTCAGCTAACAACCAGCAAGTGGATGCTAACTTTAACGAGGTATCGAGATTTATGTCGTGCATTAAGATAATTCTGCAGAAAACTCTTTAGAATACATCTTCTTCCACTAAAATGTGCAAGCACATCTAGCAGGAGTAACCATTGCTGGGTACGTTTGCAAGTCAA